CCTTACCACTTCATGACCCATTTGGAATGTTAGTTCATCGAGTTTATATTTTTTTCCGCGTGGCATTGAAAGCTTCACTTTTTCTCGTAACTCGTCAAGTGTTTCTACGGGAGAAAAATCTATATTTTTATCCCGTAACCACTGTTGAACATCTGCCTTTCTACTGTTGGACTTCGGATAGTTCTCGATCAACGAAGGGTGATACGACGCGTTGTCCATAACAATAATACTCGGCTGTTCTAAGTTAAGTAGCATTTGTGAAAACCAATTTTCAAAAATTGTGGCGTTCATTTGAGAATGATAATCTTTGTTACCAGAATTGCATTGGAAAATAAGTTTTGATTCTTTAATGAATCCGAAGGAAGGAGATCCGGCGTGGCATATGATGAGGCGACTGCCTTTGCCCGTAGGTACATTTAAACCTTCCGTATTTTCTTCATTTTGCCAAATACGTCGACGGGTATGGTTTTGATTAACCCAGGTTTCATCTAAGTAGACTACTAGCCGAGTATCACGGTTCCTACGAAACTCATTCATTTTTCTAAGAAATTTAACGCGTGCAGCTACAATATCCGAACGTTCCATTAAGAATTTGCGACCGTCGTTACATTTCTTATACTTAAAATTAAGTTGTTTTAAAATTATTTTCACCGACGATTTCGATCCACGGTAATTTAATTTTTCACGCAATTCTACTAATATTTTAGCGGTCGTTGGAAATTCACCTCTGTCGTAAAAGCTATGAACAACTCTTCTGACCACTTCATTGTCAAAATCATCAAGTTCAGTAACAGATTTCTCGCGACTGTATTTTTTTCGTGGTGAATGAAATTTAAGGTCATTAGAACTTCCAACACAAGATTCTTCTTCATTTCCGGTCATTTTACTCTCTTTACATATCCGTTGTACAGTTCTCTGACTCACCGCACAAGCCTCGGTCGTCCTCTCCTGGGACTGTAGAAAATAATCTGCCAATTCAGGTTTGTCTTTGCTCTTGGCTAAGGTTTTAAAAAATGTATACACGTTGTATATTGTTTTTTTGTTTGGGAATGTATATCGGGTCGAATTGACATTTCGAAAAAATAATTTATCACAAATAGTAAAAAAAAACACCAAAAAAATTATAAAATATTGTACAAATTAGCCGTATAAAAATATCACATTTAACTCAAACGATAGCAATCAACACATATACGAAAGGCAGAGGATCGTAGACTAACACGTTTTGAAAAAATACTGTTTCTGTACACAATTTGGTTTCAATAGAATGACAATACAATAAGGCCAATGGAATGCGATCGCCAGCGCCAGATGGCCAGTTTGAATATAAAAACGCCGCGCTCGATGGTTACCCTCACCCGCAGCAGTTTGTAGTACGCATATTTACATTATATATATTGTATATACGATATACCTTATACGTTAATAAAATATTTGTAATGTGAGGGTTCACAACTTTTTTATAAACATCTGAAACACAGCTGCACCGGCTATTCATTTAATAAATCATACTTTTAGAACCCCTGGTTTACATGAAAACGGCCGCCTGGCGCGCGACGTTCACCCGCCTAGTTTCGCTGGCCGTACTATAGTGGATAAACGATAACAAATGCCGATAGAATTCAAATAAGCACCTTTGCAATCCAAACTAGACGACATTCATAATCATCAAATTTTAAATGCTGAACAGTATTTCGTTTAAATGGATGATATATTTTTTTTTTCGCAATTTTTTGGACTGAACTATATGAAATTCCTACTTCTTCTAAACAAATAATAATAAAACATGATAATTAATAAATAACGGTAATTTTATGCTTGATTCACAAAAAAATGAGACATGGTTTGCCAGAATTACATCAATGTGTTTGTGAAATAAACACAAACCACATCTAATAAAATAATATAAAACATAATTGAACTGAATCAAATCATACTCAAGGGAAATAGGAGATTATCAGTCAAGATTATATGGGCCCAAAAAATGAACTGAAGCATACGTATGATCATAATATGGAAACCAGGCAATAATTGTTTGAGGATTTACTGTGTCAGGGAATACCTTAAACTCAAATATAATATACAATATATGTATTTAATTACTCAATACTATTCTTAAAGATGTATTAGGATTTTCTTCTAATTTTTGTAACACAATTTGAGAATATTCTTTAGTAGATTTGGTACATTTCCTATTTTTATTCTTATTGAAACTTCCTGTAGATTTTAAGTTTTTTTCCAATCTTAAAAAATTGCTTGAATTAGGAACTTGCCTCTCAAACCCAAATCATTGGCTGTACAATAGAGCGGCTTTTCTTTTATTTTTTCCACTTTCTATAAAGCATGACCACATATCCATTTTTTCAGTAATAGAGTAGAACATTGTAGTTGATTTAACGTTGAAACAATTTTTGTGGTTTACAATAAAATAAAATATTTATTTAATATTGAGGAATCCAGAGGATTAATTCAACTGAGAACAGATAAAATGTGAAAAACCAACAATACTGTACATTTAGGAAATAGATAGGTACTTTTATCTTTTTTACCTATGTGAAACATGTCATATTCATCATTCAATAAATTATGTTTTGCAGTGATTTGTAGGTATATAAGTATGTAAAATAGATAATAAAAATTATATAAATTTGGAAAACACAATGCTTTATGTTTTATAAAGAAGATATTATGTTGTATAATTTGTTAATTTATTTAATATAATTTATATTTCTTTATCAGATGGACTGGTAAATTACAAAATAAATATTTTTTTTTAAAACAATATGGTGTATCTTAATTATTATAGTAAATGATTATATTAAACAGAAAACATTTAATCATTTCAAAACAAAGTAAATCAACAATTTCTATGTATTTAGAAAAATAATTCATAAATACAGATACAAATGTATAATTTATGTACTTGGATTCAGGATTTAGAGCCAAAACTAAATTAGTTAAAGGTCTATTCACACATTTTTTTTTTTTTTTTTTTTAGTTATACATTTTTACAATGTCCCTATCATTTAAGGTTTTAATTTCATTAAAAATAAATAATTACAAATCAATCTGTGTATACTAAAAAAATAAAATAGAATAGGTAAGTTATTTTGATTACACAAATAACCTACATCAGACTGATATTACAATGTATTGTGCATCGAGGAGGTGAGTCTTGTATTGTTAATCTGATGTGGGGCTATAGGCTCAGAGCCCGTTGTTCATAGTGCCTACCCGACTTTCCATTTATAAATATTAGGTATTCTGGGATATATTTTTTGTATAATTTGCATTTTATATCAAAACTATCTTGTGTGTGGATAGACCAGGCATGCCCAACCTTTTTCAACTGGTGGGCCACATTCAAAATGTATATTTGTACTGCGGGCCGTATATGCTTCATGGTTTTTTTTTTTTTGTTAATTTCGATAAAATATAAACTAGTCATAGGTATATCTATTGTACATTTTATCGGATATAATATTATCTTTGTTCACTTATCGAATTTATGACTCAAATCATGTGTTTAAAGTTCTCAATATTTCCACGCTATAGTTGTTAGTTTGTTTTCGTCATTAAAAATTATTTTATATTCTTAAAACTTAATAAAATACATTTTTTTGTAAATAATAATTTTTATTTTTTAACCTATAAAAATTTCTAATTTTAATAAAATGATTACGGGTCAGTTGGAACACTTTCGCGGGCCGCGGATTGGGTATACCTGGGATAGACCAAATAATGGACATTAATTCAATACTAAACTATTAAAGGCAATAAACACATTAGTTATCAATAATTTTACTAGAGTATGAACAAATTTCCGTAATTCAAATTTTTGGAGGATTTGGGTAAGGTCATAACTAATAAAAAATATTAACACTTAACATGTCCACTACCCTAGATAATTTAATAAAAATAAATGAACATTGAACATACTTTATATTATCTACTCTAGATTAAAACATATTTTTAGGACTATGGATGTTTTAAAAAATTATTCATTTTTACACTTTTTTTGAAATTATGTTAATTTTTAACTAATATTTTATGATATAAAAATCTTTTAATATTACATAAAAATGACACTATCATATTAAAAAAAGATTTTCAATTTGCCAATTTAGGTTAATAAAAACTCCATAGCCCTAATTTTGAAAAATAGTAAATCAATAACTTAACCTAATTATTTAAACATACAATTAACTAATAATGTGACAATCAACAAATTTTACAAGTGTAGAAGTAGTTGGTCTTGATGTTGAGCTGTTTTTTTATTATCTGAATGCAAAAAAAAAAAAACATTAAATTATTCTATAAACAAAAAAAAAATTATTTATTCATACGTATTAAGTTATTAGGTGACATGTCCAATGCTATAACTAACCAAAATAACAAATTGTATTTTTTCATCCAATCTTGTTATAGATATTTGAATTAAAAGTTAGTACTACTAATTGCAGTTGAAATTTGAAAGAAAACAAAATTAATTTTCTAAAAAATAAGCAAAAATTATGATAAACATCAAATTATTTATTTTATAAATAAAAATTCATACTTACATAAGAAATTGTTTAGTTTAAAGATTAAAATCTAATATGTAAAGAAATATGGATATTTTATTCTTTTATAGTCATCAGATACCAGTAGCAAGCAATGTAAATTTGCTTTAATTGCTGATCAAATTGAGCTGTCTAGTCATAAAGTTCACTGTATTTTTTGATTAATTATATAAACTCTACTAATTTCCACTGAAATAAAATTAAAATATTTGAATCATGGTTATTTTTTGTCAATCATATGTATAAATCATTTAATAAAAAAAATAAAATTCTAATATATTAATTTTAGATTGAACTTACCAATAAATTATACAAATAAAGTTATCAGCAAAATATGAAATCTGATTCCCATATACATAATAATATTGCTGATTGAATAGAAGTATATTTTTAATTAAATTCAAATTTGTTAAACAAATTACAACATTAAAACACTATCAAAAAATATAATAGGTATGTATTGGAATAATTGGCTTAAACTTTAAATTTATATTTTAAATAATACACTTATACACATTATTTAGTATTTACTTAAAACGTATTCTTTGGTTAAACATTCAAACAATAGTAATTAATTAATAATTAATATTCTATATTTGATAATGGAAACTAACATTAACGATTAACCAAAAACCACATGTTTTCAGAAACAGTTTACCGGCATTTATTATCGTTTATCTACTAATACGTGATAAGACCGTATACCAGGAAACAGTAACCAGTGTTATATTGTGAAACCATAATGGTAAATTGTAAAATGTTATTTTTATACTTTACATATAGCTGATAACCATTTATATAACCATTTTATAAACACTTTTTTTATCTAATAGTATTGTTTATCTATCTTGTTATTATCAATAATTATGACCCTAATAGCTAGTGTTAAATTGAAATAAAATTTCGTTTTGACTTCTAGTTTTTACTGTTGGGTTTGTAAGATTGCCCAGTAGCAGTAAATTAAACGAATATTGAAACATTAATAAGTCGCAAACGGATTACTCAAATTAAATTCTATAAACGTTAAATTTATTTTTTTCAGTATGTCTATAGATTTTTGTTAACGAAAATAGGTATTGCTATTTGAAAATCAAAAGTTGATAGTGTTTTATCAAATTAGGGAGTAAGTTAAAATTATCAAAATTGTAACACAGTGTAAAAAAGTAAAACCTAGAAAGTTAAAAAAAAAAATTATTTTAAAATTCCTTATACTTCCCGAGATATTAACTGGTTCACGATAAAAAAATCACTCTGTATATTAGGGTGCCCGTTATTTTTGAAGTTTAAAAACTCGAGAAATGCCACTCCGAATTTTTTTTT